GCTCCTCTCTCCATCCCCGTGCTCCTCTCTCCATCCCCGGGTCCCTTTCTCCATCCCCGGGCTCCTCTCTCCATTCCCGGGCTCCTCTCTCGGTCCCGCACGGCTCCGGCTCCACTTTGAGGTGTCCCTTCGCACGCTGCCGCAGCTCCGGGCCGGCTCCTACCGCAGCAGCAGCTGGAAGCCCTCAGGGCCGGGGGCTGGCCCGGGGACGCGGCTCAGACGGGGCCACCGATGGTCCCCAGGCCGSCCCCGCCCGCCCGCGGCCACCGCGCTACCTTTGCCGATCGCCACCACGAAAGGGGTCTCGTCCTGGAGGTTCCTGATCATCTGCGGGGCACAGGGGAGAACTCGGAGGGGCTGGACCCGGTCCCGCTCCGGCACTGGGGACCCGAGGGTCCGTCCCTCCCCGCCCCGGTGTCCCCGTGTCCTCACCGCATCGCTGACGAGGACGTGGATWCCGGCGGGTCCCTGGCGGGAGAGCCGCACGATCTGCTCCGGGGGCAGCCCCAGCAGCTCCGCCAGCTTCCCCGAGAGCTCGGGCACCGTCAGCTGCTCCAGGTGGAGCTCCTGGTACAGCCCTGGGACGGGACGGGACGGGACCGGGATGGGACGGCACGGGGACAGGGCTGAGTGCCCACCCTCCATCCCTGCGCTGCCCTCACCCGAGCCCCTCCCCGCACCCCCTAGTCCCTTCCCCGCACACCTGAGCCCCTTCCCCGCACATTTGAGCCCTCTTCCCCGCACCCCCTAGCCCCTCCCCGCATACCGAGCCCGTTCCTCACCTGCTCCCGCGTCCTCCGCTCCCTCAGCCCCGCCGGGCTCCCGCGCCACGTACAGGGTCAGCCGGGGCCGCGGGCACCTGAGGGGGCAGAGAGGGGWCTGGAGGGGCGCAGGGTGAAGCCGAACCCCACGGAACCTCCCGGGGGTCCCCAGAAAGAGGCGCCGGGAGCGCGGGAGCCGCACCTCCCCGCCAGGGCGTGGCACAGGCGGATGCCGTCCGGGGCTCCGCAGATCTGGATCAGGTCCCTGCGGGAGAGCTTCAGCAGATCGGCCCCTGCGGACAGCGGGGCTCAGGGGGCGGCAGGAGGGACGGGCGGGATCCGCCCCCGCCCCGGGCCGGGGTCTCACCGGTGAAGTTGGCAAAGACGCGGGCGCAGGCGGAGAAGCGGCGGCGGAGCAGCCACTGCTGAGTCTCCAGCGGGGATGCGCAGGGGCTCAGCGCCTGGGGGGGCTCAGGGGGGCTCAGGGGGGCGAGACCCGAGCGGGCACAGCCCCCGACCCGAGCGGGCACAGCCCCAGCCCCTCCTGGGGGGCTGCGGGGGCTTTGGGGCTGCAGCGGCCGCTCCCTCACCTCACCAGGACTCTCCGCGGGGCCCTCGGCAGCGCAGGCGGGGGACATGCACACCCTGCGGGGGGATCGGGGCTCAGCGGGGCACCCCAGCAATGGGAACGGGGGTTCCGGGGGGTCTCCGCTCACCTCTCGGGGCTCAGCAGCTTGAAGGGGTGAGGGGACGGCAGCCCCGGGGTGCCCGGGGGGCTGTGGGGGGCGCCCAGCGCGTCCGGCCAAGGGGGGCACTGAGGAGGGAGCGGGTGATGGGTGCAGGGTCCCGGGGGTACCCCCAGCCCGGGGGGTGCCGGGGCCGGGCCCCACCTCGGCCAGCACGGTGCTCTCGTAGGCCGGCTGGAACTTCTCCCGCTCCGCCGCCGGCTGCCGCTCCACCTTTTCCCGGTCCGTCTTCTGCTTCCTGTCGGCGCCTTTGGGCTGTGCCGGGGGGTGAGGGGGGGCCCCGGGACCACCGGGACCCCGCGGTGTATGGACCCCATTCCCCGCACCCACCCCACCCCCGGTACTGCCCCACGCTCAGAGCTGGAGCTCCCAATAGCGGGGGGCACTGGTCACAC